TTTCTACTTTTGATTATGCAGGCAGCATAGCCTAAAGCTAATCTACTGTTTCAATAATGACAGTAATAACATGTGTGTCACGTACTAAATATGCACGCCACGCACACGCGCGTGAATTTTTCAAAACATTTGTGGAATAAATGAAATTTAGCTTTTAGAACAATCTTTAAGAGTTTTTGGCACTGTATAAAACCTCTCTCTCTAACTTTACTCTCTCATTTGCCATTTTAAATGGTACTTCTCAGCTGGAGACACATCATTAAGCTGCACTTAGAAACAGAAAACCACAATGTTTAAAACATGGGAACACAGACTGTTCAGAGCCACTGCAAGCTGGATTCAACTACCTTAAAACAACAACTTCATTCTATTAAGAAACTGTATCAGCATCATCAGCATCCATAAAGGTTAGAAGGTAAGTGAAGAAGAGGAAGGTACTAAGAGAATAACATTGTCTTGCTGTAGAAATGGATCAAAACAAGCAACCCTAAAGATAATTTCTTATACAGCAGGAGAAAAAGGAAATTACAAAAATGGGGAGGGGGACGGAAGAGGATGTTGGAGGGGGAACCTCACAAGCCAACTAATAACTACTGCTGAGGAACTGCTATTAAACTGGAAGCCTCCTGACAAGTAGCTATTTCATCAGGTAGTTTGGCTTCACCAGACTTGAAAAGCTTGATCCAATTCAAAGCTCTTGCCACCAACGCTTAAACAAATACAGAGATGCACTGAAGAACATAATGCTACATTATCTACACTGGGGGGAAGAAAAAAATCGCTGTGAAAATAGCATGACTAAAACACAGTGTTAGTATCAGCTCATCACTAATCAAGTTACAGCCTTTAATGTGTAGTTAAAAAAAATAATTAGAAAAAATCAGAAATCTAACACTGGATATTTGTTCTATTCAATTCAGACCAGGAAAAAACCAAAAAGAAAACCAAAAAACCACCACACCACAAATCCAGTGTTCTGTAACAGCCACTGGCTCTTCAACTTGAAGAAAAAAAAAATAAAAATCTATATTCCATATGATATCGTCTTATTTCTAAACAAAATTTCATCTCTACAGATGGCATTCAAAACATTATTCTCCCATCTAAATTGGCTACTACAGTCCAAACATAATTGATACATGAGCCACATCTCTGTTGCAGAGAGTTCCTTCATTTTAGCATAAATCAAGTTCTTGAAACTGAATGCTTGACTTGACAAAGCCAGTAAATGGCCGTTATCTCAACAACTTGGGTCCCTGGCACATTCAGTTTAAAACTCCTGTTTTATTAAACACTGATACAGAAACCTACATAAAGAACAGAATGAAGTGCAATGTACAAAAGGCGTGCTGTAAGTCCAGCGCGTTCAAGCTATGAACATTCAACGCTCCCAAGTAGTTTTCACAGAAAAACTGATCTTGGAGTTCAGCGTAACTCCTAGCAAAGAGTGAATA